ACTGACTGTATTGCAGATGACATCTAGTTGAGTAAAATCATAGTGGCAGAACTGCATTAGAAACTCTGGCGTTCTAACACGTCTGGCCCATTTACTCAACCTGTCAGATTTGGAGAGGCTGGCAAAAATGGGAACAATAGGATCCATTTTCTAGAGTGACATTCTTGACTGCCAGTTTGAGTAGTGTTCCTCTTCCAACTGCGGGAAAGGAGGTCTAATGGACAGTGTTGATCGTCTTGCACGTTCTTCTGACCAGTTTTTCGGTCCACAAGGCGTAGACAGGGCACAGACACGGTGTTTTGCCGCAGTTTTCAGGGCACCTCTTCGACCACCCACCACGCGAATGATCTAACAATGCTGCCCTTGCATTGCATTGCACATTCGTCTCAGACAAACATCGAATGGCACTCCATAAGTCACGAATTACCCTTAGCGCATTAGCGTCTCGAGTTTGCATGGTTGCTCTACAAATTGCACCTCGCACGCTCGATATAACCTTAATGCATGAAGGGGTCATTAATTCGGAGACGACGACGAAGACGACGACGACGACATGTGAAGGCGTAGACACGCACAGCCGGACATCCTCATCTGCCGTTGTTCGCTGGTTTAAGATGATTTTGTGTGTGAAGTCGCTGTGCTGTACAAATTTTCGTGGAACCACCCATAGCAGCAGGGTGTAGGGTTGGCTGTTAGCGAATCATTTTTAGTAACTGTTACCACCCAACATGACTACACAACAAGTGCAAGGTGACGTCGCCTAGGATCTATTTTTATGCTTGCCAATCTTCGACATTGTATCAATGCGATATTGCCGCTGAAAATGCTGCATCTGAAGCCTTGATTGCCATCAAGAGTCGGGATCGGTCTTGGGTTTACAACTTGTAGAAGGAGAATTCCTAATTCTTGATCATCGGATCTCTCATTCGAGCTGAGCTCACACAGTACCAACGGCAGTCTCGCGAGGATGGATGACGAAGGCCAATCCAAGCGACTATTCTACGGCCATATACATAGCTGCAGGTGGTCGCTGATATGCAGGGCAAAAACGATGCTGAAGAACCAACTTGAACTCTCTCAAACGCGTACAAATCAATACAGCGGCCTGGAACGATCTCGTATTCGACTGATCTGTCTGGAGAAGAGCATTGAAGACACGTGTCAAGGCAACACAACAAGAATGGAATCGGCACCTCTCATGCTAATACGATTACTTGGGATTGGCTTGTTCTCAGTGTGGACCTCTGCTCCTATGACACACATGAGATCCTAGCTGCGCACCTCATTATGTGGAATCTTAATGTGTTGTTTTGGAGCCGGTTCGTTTGACTGGCACCCTCTCAGCCACTGCACCCAAGTTGAACTTCTGTTGGTTGACCTTCTCGTACAATATCCTCGTAAACGGGAGAGGGGAGAGATGGTGAGGTCGACTCTCAGCACATATTACTCATTATTAAGCTATTCCTTCTATGGCTGCTTGCTTAATAGCGTACTTTGAGGTGCTGCCACGTGATGGGATAAGTTGACCGTTCTGTCAGGACGGAGAACCAAGCTATAACGTCTCCTCACTCATTTGGATCCGATCCGCCTCTCCTTTTTCATGTGTGAAATGCCGATCCTTTGTAGGCAGTATGGAGACTTAGTGAGAGGCACAGCTACGGGTTCACGCTATGCCAGCCACCTTCGCCCGATTCCGCTACCGGTCTTCACGAATCTGTCTTGATGCCGTTTTCAGGTAGGAGAGGAGAGCGTGTGGCAGGCACAGCGAAATTTTACTATCACTCTAAACTCATTGGTTCGCCAGTCAACGTCCCTGCGGCCACCCTGTTGTAGGCCAAACGAAGGCCGAAGTGTTGTATGCTGTAGGTCATCCTTTTTTATTACAGTGGTCGTTTAATTTCTTACTACACGCATCAACCCTTCATTTGACGATTCGCAGATGAGATATTTGTGTTAATTCATGAAATGCTTACCGAAATCCTTAAATCTTTTTTTTATCTCGAAAAGATTACTTAAGTAGGGTTGTGAAATCAATCAGCCCGCAGCATAATTCCGCAATAATTCAGTTACCTCTAGATGACGACTTTCGAACGAACTTCGTTCTCGTCGCATGCTACAACCCAAATTTATAAATTTACTGCATAGATAGCATGATTTTTTCTCATTGGTCTTAGTTGCCCATAAAAGTCGAATTATATTTCATGACAAACTTTCATAAAAGTTTTCATTCGTTTCCTCATGCGGTAGAAAATTAAGTCTTCCATCAGTCATGTACTCGAAAAAGGGGATAATATGGTTTTCAAAATCTCTTCCAATTCCCGAATAATGTTGAATCCAACCTGCCGTCAAACTTGCATCCGGCGTTTCCAAACTACAAGCCGTATACTTTCAGCGTACAGAAAACCGTACATTTCTTTACGGTATTAGGAGAAAACCACATGGATTTCATAAAATGCAGTAGTGGATATGAGCCGTATTCTAAACGTCATAAACAACATTAGTGAATGAAGAAATTCGATGATTTATGAGCGGGCAGTTCACGGTATTAAAAATTGAATAATAAGAAACTTTTTAAAAATCAGATAATACCCTTTTGTATATAGAATTGAAAAAAGACGTCAGTTTCTGCCAAACTATAAAAAGAATGAATACTTTTCGTAAGTTTTTTATGAAATATAATTAAATTTTTAAGGATATCAAAAAGCAAAGGGAAAAATGCATGCTACATATGTAGCCATTTCTTACAGAGTTGGGTTTTCCCATGCGGCCGATAGGGAGTTCGTTCAAAAGTCGGCATCCGGATGTAACCGAATTACTAAGTAATTATGGTGTATGGTGACTTATTTACTTCCCTACCAAAGTAATTCTTTCGAAACGAAAAGCATTTTAGAATTTCGGTTTACATTTAATGAGTTAACACACTTACTGTGCATGCATTCTCTCTCTCATTCTTTATTGTTCTCCCATCCTTTTTTCTGCCTTGCTTAAAAAAATGTATGTTAACTTTAAAAAGGTCCGCCGGAAAGTTCGCTTCTGCTACCTATGTTCCTTCTGTACTTTTAGTCGGCATTATCATAGAGCGACATTTCACAGCGGTCAGGCATTCTGCTAGTCTAATTCGGCATGACGTCGCCCATCCCCCATATTCGGAACTAATCACTGAGAAGTCCTTCCGCTCATGTGCCGTGGCTTTTGATACATCTCTTTCCGTACATCAGCATATCAACCTTCTGTACTGCCATTCCTGGCACGCTATCTCACGTGCAACGAGGAAAAAATACAGAAATTAAGACGTCAACTGTCCCTGTAATAGCTGTTGCTTGCAGTGTAAACCTTTTTGACTTTTAAGTGATTTGCTAACAAAAATGATGTTCACAGTGAATCGAGCCCTTTTTGCTCTAAATGTTAAATGTGTACTTTCAAAATGGAACAAATTTCTTTCTCTCTCTTTCTCTGTCCTTGTCGCGTAAACTCCCTCCAACTGCATATTGTCACCAATGTGCATTCCCGCCCATGGCACTCATACACCCCACACCAACACATAACAACCTGCAAAGGACGCGCACCGACAGAGTGTGGCCAAGGAGAACTAAATAAGCCTTCTAGTAGGATCAATCTGATCGAGCTTTCCCAACTTTATTGAATAGGGAAGTCGGGTTTATGTTGCCAAATTTGTGCAGCTGAATTACACTGAACTTTGTCAAATCTTCCGATGCAATCTCAAACGACAATCATTATTTGTCTCGTTAAAAACATTTCAAGATAGGTAACCTCCATGTGCGCTATCTAACGGCTTACTTGTATGCAGAGGACATTCTACATGCCTCTCGAACTAAACACGTTTGCTGATATTTTTATTACATTGTCTAATGTCTTGTCTAATTAGTCATGTGCAATTATTTGAAATTCTTATTAGCTGTGGCAGGATGTTTACCGTTAATACCAAATGAATACATAAGACTATCCTCACATTTAATTATAACTTTGATTCACCTCAACGTAATCGAAATTACCTAAACCGTGGTTCACTACCCTCCGAAGGTCCTATTACATCATTGTGATCATCTAGCTAGGAGGCAATTTTCATTTCCCAGAGTCCTACGATAATGTTGAGGGATGGGCAAACTGGTCCGATATATCCGCGATGAGCTGAATGACATTTACTTTTAATAAGCTAATAGTCTTTGCGCATTGACTTAAAACACTGCTGTGTCCCCATATCAATCACGACTGGAAAATAAAGCATTATCAAAGTTCTGTAACCATGACTACCTGATAAAAAGCGGATAAGTAAGAGCTATTCACCCACCCTTGATGCTTTTGCTATATAAATCTCACCTTATGTGGTACCCAACTGGATCTTTAGTTGTTTTTATCTGAGATGTTGGGTGAGGATGAAACCAAATTTGATTTTACTCCTACAAGCGGGAAGGAAAGTGAGCACAGTGAGAAATTACAGCAAATTGCATATAGTCTTCTCTAACCTTCCGAAATCAACCAACATCTTATAATCTAATGAGGTGGTAACGCCGTGAAACACTGCGATGAAACATATTGATGGCTAGGCTGACAAACGGTTGTCCGGCATTCCTCTATCACCAGCTGGTTCAGGAACTGACCGACTCGAGCGACAAGCACCGATGCGTGCGGGATTGCTGAACACTGCATCGTTCCTACAGAATCATATTGGAAAATCGAAAGGACAAAAAGTAAGTCGACGACCATCACCTGAAAAAGCATGTCGAAAAAGCTATGCTTCTGTGCTTAAGAAACGTTATTTCAAGTCAAAGTTCTTCAGCGAATAGTCGTAGATTTGCACCGTGCGAAATTAACCAATTGTAGAGTCGAAAGCGAGCAGCGATATTTAAAGCCAGCTCCAGAGCTTTTGAAGGCACCCAGTCAGTAGCAGGTTAATAAACGACACTCAGGCTAGTTCGATGATGTCGGTATACCAGATGAGGCATCGCAATCGTGTCATAATATTTATATCATTGGGTTTTATGTTTTTCCTGCTGTTCCTGTTGTCTCCTCGAGCCCCTGAAGAAGAGACAACCCTCTCTTCTGCACAGTACCTGGCACAACGATGCCATATCCTCTTTTCAGACAACGCGCCGGATATACACAATGAGTCCAAACGACTCATTCCCCTGGAGACGCATGAATACTTTCTAAGTCTAAACAACCATCACGGCAAAAACTGCAAGAACTTCAAGCAAAAATTGTTCCCTGCAGAAGTACCGATTAGCGAGGCAGAGAGAGCATTTCCTCTGGCATTTCTCCTTACGGACATTAATCAAGTGGCGCGACTACTGCGCATCATATATCGGCCACAAAACTTCTACGCCATTCACGTGGACAAAAAGTCCCCACCCATGTTCTACAAGGCAGTCCAAGAAGTTGCAAAATGCTTTGGGGACAATGTTGGCGTAGTTCCTCGGAGCGAATGTGTTAACGTCACCTGGGGAGAATACACGGTCCTTGAACAGGAGCTTGTTACTGCGCGTCTGCTGCTCAAAATGGGGAAATGGAAGTATTTGATAAATTTGACTGGCCAGGAACTACCTCTGAAGACAAATCTGGAATTAGTGCTAGGTCTCAAGGCGCTCAACGGCTCAAACATTGTCGATGCTATCCTCAAACGTCGGGACGAGTGGCGAATCCCTAAAGTCAACTTATCATTTCCGGTAAGTAGACAATATTCCATCTTAAATCTGAAGTATCATTTATTATACCCTAACTCGACTTTAGAGGATTTCTCATGATAGTTTGTCAGGAAAATCTTCTCCCCAGTGTCTCTTACTTGCACTTACTTCTCTTAGTAGTTCACGCACATTTCAGAATGCATGTTGCTTTGCGTACGTAAGGTAGCAAATACTTCCAATAAAAAACAGGATGCCCAGCATTCTGCTATCGATGGGACTCATTCTAACCAAACCCAACCCAGATAGTTGCTGATTTCAGCATCTCAAGTTTGGCTCCGGTCGAAATGCAGTTTGGATTTGAAAAGGGATTTGTCATCTTTGGGACGCCGAAGCACGTTATGCAGCTGTTCTACGGATATCTTTTTTGCACGTTATCAGATGATCTGTGTGGGGCATACGAAACGCCTGTTGAAAAGGCAAACGCCAATACGCCTTACCCGCGATAGCCAGGTTAACACGGTCTTCTGAGAAATTAAATAAAAAATTACAAAACTCTGCTCTTTAAACATGAAAGTAACAGGGAACCCTATGCTTTTGCAGTAACTGTTTAAATGAAAAAATACTTGTTAAATATTTCTCACTCAATCTCAGTCGAGAAATGTGTAACAAATATGCAATATTAATAAACGTAACAATTTACGCAACAGATTACCTATAAATGTTAAAGGCAGTAAAAATGAAAAAAAAAACAATCCACAGTGCAATGAGGCTAAATTAATCCAAATGGGCATCTTAGTCGCCAGTCAACTTACCCAATCAAACTGACATATGTCAATTCAATTAATTTTATAAGATGACAAATGTGGGTCTGCTCTATCACAGTATAAAAATGCGGTCCTATAGAACCAGTGACCAAAAGTTCATGATGCGGTTGCTCTCATGGATGTGGAAGAAAATTGTATAGGGTTTACGGGTGGGCATTTTGGAGGCTACAGGTAGAATTTTCGGGTTTCTCTTCAATTGGAACAGGAGATGCTCGACGAGGTCGGACTGCGCAGGTTATGCCCATAGGTAGCCGGGGGCATGTTGGGAGGGGTCGGGCGTTGCCGATGTGGATCGGGGGCGCTCGGGGCATGCAAGTGGCTTTTTTGGCTTTGGCAGTGGCGATCCAGGTTAGTTCGTAGACTGTTGCCCCTGTTTTCATTGTCCTTCTCCAAACCGGTCGATCCAATACGAGGCCGCTGTGTTGATTTGCACGTCTTTAAGGAAACTCAAGGTGCTCCTGCAGCATTGTTTTCGTCCTTCTTGTCAGCGACCACCTGCAGTTATGTACATCGCCGTAGAATAGTCGCTTGGACAGGCGTTCATCTTTCATCCTCGCGAGACTGCCGTTCCAGTACAGTTGAATTTGCCTCAACAGGGCCTGTATGCGGAAACTTCCGAATGATTCACGGACTCCCGTATCTGGGTGGCCTGTCTTGACATCTCAGTTACAGTATTTTTCTGAGACAGTTGTGGTGGAAGTTGCTACGTTTCCTGGCTTGATTTGTATTGACTGTCCAGGTCTCTGCGTCATGCGACAGCGGTGCCAATAAGGCAGCTTCGTGTTTCTTCGGTTTAGTGTTGAGATGAAGGCTATGCCGATCACACACAGTGTCTTGCCGGCGGAAGAGGGCTTGGTTGGCTTTGGGGACCCCATGGACTACTTCGCCGTAGTATTTGGTCCTGTGTGAGTTCAGCTCGATTGAGAGATCTGGTGATCAAGAATTTCGAATTCTCATTCTACATGTTGCAAACTCAAGACCGATCCCGATTTTCGATGGAAATCAAGGCTTTAGAATCAGCATCGCCAGCAACAATATAGTACGAATACAATGTCGATATAAGCAAGCATAAAAAGCAAATTCTAGGCGTAGCCAACTGACACTTGTTGCGTAGTCATTTTGGGTGGTGACATTTACTGAAAATGATTCCATAATAGTCAACCGCATTAGTCAATCCTACACCCTGCTGTCATGTGTCGTTCCATGAAGATGTGAACAGCATGGCGCTACACCCAGGAAATCATTTTGCTAAATGAAAGCAGGTGAGGATGCTCGCCGTGTGCGTGTCTGCGCCTTCACAGGTCGTCGTCGTCGTCATCTCAGAATTAATCACCACACTCAGTCGCCTCTTCGAGCTAAAAGGTCATGCGGAAAGCTTGACATGCAATTTGTATGTGAACTACCCGAACTCGAGGCGCTATCGCGTTACGCAAAATTCGTGACTTATGTAGTGCTATTATATGTTTGTCTGAGATGAATGTGCATTTCAATGTATTGGCAGCATTTTTCGCTAATTCGCGGGGTGGGTGGTCGAACAGGTGCCCTGAACATTGTGGGAAACACGTACTAGCAGCCCGTCTATGGCTTGTATGCCTAAAAGCTGGTCAAGATAATATGCAAGACGATCATCACCGTCCATTGGCTCTCCTTTTCCACTGTTGGAAGTGGAACACTACTCAACCTGACAGTCAAGAATGAAAACGGATCTTGTTGCTCCCATTGATTCTCGTCTTTCCAAATCTGACAGCTGGAGAAAATGGGCCAGACGGGTGAGAACGCCAGAGTATCTAATACAGCTCCGCCACTATGATTTTACGCAAGTAGATGTCATCTGCGATACAGTCAACCATAGACAACTTCGTAAATTGAAATCCTTCCTCCATCCTTATCGCACTGAACGGAAGGATAATTCTCGTGTCTCTGGATTTGAGCCTAGCATAATCCTTATACTCTGGCTTTCTAACAGGTCTGGTCCACTGCCAATATAAGCGAAAAGACGAGTCCCAGGAAGTAGTCTTGAAGAAGGATACACGATCGCCGAGACAAGAGCTTTATTATCCTGACGTTTCGGATTCCTACTCGAATCCATCATCAGAGGCAAAAAAGCAGAAACGGGTGGTTGTTGCACAAGGGGCTGCGGTGTTTACAGGATGCAATAGTCGTGCTACCGCATACCTCTGAACATCCACGGTTCCCCCTGTGCGTGTCTGCGCCTTCACATGTTGTTGTCTCTGAATAAATCACCACACTCGGTAGCATCTTCGAGCAAAAAGGTCATGCGGAGAGTGCGACGCGTAATCTGTAGGAGAACCACGCAAACTCGGGCGTTATCGCGCTGAGGAAAATTGGTGTCCTATGAAGTGCAACTCGATGTTTGTCTCAGATGAATGTGCACCGCAATGCAAGGAGATAATTGTGCGCTCATTCTCAGGGACGATGGTCAAGCAGGTGCCCCGAACACTGCGGCAAAAAACCGTGTCTGTAGCCTGTCTATGGCTTGTAGACCAACAACTGGTCAAAATAACATGTAAAAGGATCACCACCATCCATTAGCCCTCCTTTCCTGCAGTTGGAAGTGGAACACAACTCAATCTGTCAGTTAAGAATGTCACTCTAGAAAATGGATTCTATCGTTCACATTGTTGCCAGCCTCTCCAAAGCTGACAGCTGTAGTAGAAGAGCCAGACGTGTTAGAACGCCAGAGTATCTAATACAGCTCTATCACTATGATTTTACGCCACTAGATATCGTCTGCAACACAGTCGGTCATAGACACTTTCGTAAATTTAAATCCTTCCTCCACCCCCATCGCTGTGAACTGTAGGATTATTCTCTTGTCTCCAGAGCTGTGCCAATCAAAATCCTCATAACCTTGCGCATGTGACTTAATGGCGGTATCGTTTGTCGACATCGAGAATCCCCCTGTTAGGATAGGTACTAGCCAAATCAGCAAGGCTATCGCCACCGTCCATTTTCCCTGCTGTTCCTCAGTTTAGTAAATCGACACTGCTCAATCTGACAGTTAGGAATGTCACTCTAAAAGCGCATCATGCTGATCCAAATGGTACCGGCCTCTCCAAACTCTGACAATTGGAGTAGCTGTCTCATGAGTACACTGCTCACTGGAGGGCACCCCATGGTCATTGCTACCTGTGGTCACAGTCGAATTTGTCATTAGAAATAACGCCGTTGGACGGTTGTTTTGGCTGCCAATAGGCGTTGAAGATTGCTCCATGACCATGAAGCCGCCACTCTGAGAGAGCGAATAAGTCACCGTCGTCAGCTGCCCCGCCACTCTTCAGCCCACTTACCACGCTTCTAGTCGCTGTACCGGATGCGAAAAAAATTGTCATTCTTGGTGCCGTCAATGCTCGCTGCATAGTATGGGACTGCGAGGAGGATGGCAGTCGGCCTCAGTGGCGCTTTTTCCTTATTTCGAAATTACTGAGAGTGAGGTTTGCTTCATATATCTCCCATGGCCACCTGTCTTCCCCATAAGTGCATACGCATTTGTTATCTGCTTAGTCACACGGTTGTACACAGACGACTCCCGCTAACCTTCCGTCTCTTATGCTGTATTTAAAACAAAGCCGAACACTATTTTATGAGTTAAGGTGTGTAATGACAGTTAACTAGCACTGCCTTCAAAAGAAATTATAGGCTTATACGTAGAAGACATTTACTAGATTAACCAAAAATACGCTTTTGGTCGATATTGTCAAGTTCTCTGCGTCCTTATATAAGTAATCACATTTGATGAATAAATCTATTATTCTACATTTTATAAGATTTAAGTATGACTGGCTGACAATGGCCAATAAGCCAGAAGTGGTCATTCTGGTCTCCCTTATCTTCGTCCACAGTGTTACTTCCCTACATATATTTATAGGAAATTGTACCGACAAAGATACGAGAGAACGGAATGGCCATTTCTGGCCTATTGGTCGTCATTAACCAGTCACACCAAACGCCAAGTATGAATCACTTGCGATTCGAACCCGTGATCTCTAGTCATGGAGTTTGACACTCTATCACTGAGCCATGGACCCGTTGTCCTGTCGATTGTGATCGGGAATATCAATTCTGACTGCTGGGCGCTCACCGTTCAGGTTATAGAACCTGTTGGTTCCGTTGTGCCAAATGAAATCGGGAGGCTACTCGCACGCAAATACGGATTTCGCGTTTTAAGCGCCATTATATCAGACGTCCACCATCTTGTTTGTAGATTCGATACAACAATATTCACGCACTGAGCCCAGTGCGTTTCAGCATTGCCTGAAAATGTATTGAATGATGTTCTACAACGAATAAATGGCTCTAATTTAGACGCCAGAATGAAAAAGCGAGCCGATCTTCAACTAGAGTTGCAATCTCTCCTTCGTCCTATCAACGAAAACAGCAAATCGCCCCTTTTTTTACTGACGGCACATGTCCCTGAAGACATGCATGCAGACGCACGCAACTGTGTCATTGGTTTCCTTCGACAAAAGCAGCACCATCAAGACTTATCCATTGATGAAGATAAGAGGTTAAAGTCTCCAAAGACAGACGACAGTATAGTGAGTGTGTTCGCTGACAAAGGTGGCGCGACCGTCAACACAGAAGACCGATTACATCAACAAGGCGAACCAAGTCTTAAATGACAAGGAAGCCTACGCACCATTCGCGGAGGATTCGATCAAAAAACAGGCCGCAGTTGTGTAAAGAATGAGAATGAGCTCACTCGACTGAAACTCTTAAACCTGATGCGTTCAAATATATGCCCATGCATATGGCCTCCCAAAAGTTCACAAAGAGGATGCGCCATTGGGAATTTCAGTGCCGCTTATGGGATACTTCATCTTCAACCTCATTAAATGGTTGCGAGAATGTGAGTGGAAACACCTCACTGATCGATCACAATATAGCGACAAAAAACTCCTAGGCATTCCGCCAGAAGAACCGAGGCCATCACGTAAGCCCTGATGAGTGTAACATACCGTTTGATGTGGTCGCCCTGTTTTCTTCAATAACACTTTGAGAGCGTAAGGCGACACCAGCAAGATAATCTGTAACATTTCTATGCGATACGTTTCAGAAGTGCGTAGACTCTGTTTCAACTACTACTGTCAATTCAATGGAAATTTATATCGACAGGTTAGGAAAACACCAACGGGCTTGCCAATGTTAATTCTACTCGCAGAACTGTTACTGCATCAAATAGAAGAGTATGTTCTGTAAACTTACAGTCCAAAATGTGGCTCCGATACGTTAATGATACACTTGTTATCATGAAGACCTACGGAGTTGCAGAGTTGCATCAGACCCCGTATAGTATTTTCCTATCTATCCTGTTTACTCGCAAAGAGGCAGGAGAAGGCATCCTCCAGTTTCAAAACATTAATATTTAAAAAATCAGTGATGGTGGCCTTGCAACGAGCGTCTGACACAATGACTCCAATGTAGACGTCATTCTTTATTATGAAAGCAACCATTACGTGGCTCATAAAATGAGCTGTGTACTAACCTTTTATCACCGGGCCTTTCGTTACTGCAACAGCGATGGTCAAACTAAGAAAGAACTCGATTTCTTGTATAAGTTATTATGGATCAACGGATACCGGTAAAGTTTATGAAAAACTCTCTCAGACATCAGAGACAGCCATAAAGTTTTGGTTTTAATGGAAGACCAGAACTACGGAAATTCTACTCACTATCTACGTACAGGACATATCTGAAGCGATCGCCCGACAACTAAACCGGTTTGACATCTCCATTGCACACCAGCCGGCGTTCTTCCTGCGCACAACACTATCACGAATAGAAGACCACGAACCCAGAGTGCGGCAAACAAATGCATTCCGCAAACCGCATTCCGTGTGCTTACTACTCGTGCAACTATGTAGGTCCTTCGTGCAGACTAATTTATACGCGTATATACGAACATAAACTAGCCATCCGTCGACGTGACCCCTTGTCACTCGCTTTCGCACACGCCCTTGAATGCAAACACCGATTCAATTGGGAAGGAACTGAAGTTTTTGCCATTACTAAGACCGGACTGGATCGATAATTCCTTGAAGTTTGACACTGTAACACGACTAGCATCAATCACCGTGTCGATCTTGACGCTCAGTACGAAGATCTGCGTGCCGACCACTGACTTGCGCCCATGACGAAACAACAACCGTTAATCCATACTGGGCCATGCAGAATCTCACCATTTCGCTACCCCCACCGCAGACACAGCAAACAGCAACTGCAATCTCTAACACCTCTTATGATGGCGCACTGACCTCTGCCCCATGCCGGATCGACGACCACTAAGTCCCATTGACTCGCCATCCCACCTACCCTCTAATACAGGAAGTCGCAACAGTTCCCCCTTCCACCCCCCGCTCCAAATTCTAGCCAAATTATGGGCCCACTCCTTTCATGCACTAGTTGCTTGCCTGTTAGTGGCTGTCCTGTCGAGCCAACCAATTTACTCCGACAATTTCGTCAGACGAGGGATTGGTGGTCCTATATCGTATACTCACACTTAAAATTCGGATTTTCCCGACGAGCCTTTTATCTCCATCACATTATCTCGGAATGCACACTATCTCTATTATTCATCATGTATATATGCAGGAAAACGGGCATCTCAAGCAATGTAATTGAAGATAAGTAAGATTATCTGGAAGGGGAATAACCTTTTATGCGTAAATTTCCGAGTCTAGTTACCAAGCTCGACTTTTGGGCTATGTACAAAAACAATTAACTATTTAACCGTATCTAACAAGAGAATCTATGGTTAGCCGAAGCCTGCGCCAATGCGCGGCAAAGGTTATTCTGTTCTCAAAGAATCTTACTTATTTTCAATCATGTATATACGGCAAAGGTATTATGCTGTACTCCCGATATAGGTAGCAACCAAAAGCCCAGACACCTCTTTCGCCGATATTTTACCGCTGCTTGACACAGCTGCGAGGGGTTCGGTTCATCAGTGAGTACCCCAGCGTCTCCCATGCGGTTTCGCGTATATGAACTTCAGAAATGAATCAATCGAATATTTTCAAAAAACGATTCAGTATAAAACATGGAGTTAAGTCTCCGGAACATGACTTCTTATCGTTAGACCCGAAATTTCCCCGAAACCCAAGTTCGCATAGAGGACGCTGGGGGACACACGGAGAAGCCGAACCTCTCGAAGCTGTATCACTCATCAACAGAATATTGGAGAAACACGCGCCTGTGATTTTAGATACTACGCATGTCGGCAGTACGGTACAATACTTTTTCCATGCACAATTTATACTACCCGTATTACTATTTGTTTTTAGAATGGACAATAAGTGGTCATTACACAGCAGTTGATTAACTTCGATTCGAGCGTTCATTGAAATTTAGAGTGTGAAATTAAACAACATGTCCAGGAGACTTAAATCCATGTCGTGCATTGAATAATTTCTTAAATCATTCTCTCTCTCTCTATATATATATTTTGTGATAGTGGGCAACATATATATATATATATATATATATATATATATAATGTTAGGGGGCGCTCACCGATCGTTCATACGGAACTCCGACAAGGCAACGGGCTCGTGGCCTGGTGAGTAGAGGCGTTGACTTCTAAACCAACAGGTCGCGAGTTCGAGGCTCGGGTGTTCCACACTTCGGGCTTGGGTATGGCTGGCTGACGACGGCTAATAAGCCAGAAATGGCCATTCCAGTCTCCCTTGTCTTTGTCGGCAATACCCTTCTGCCTATATATATATCATCATCCATAAAATAAGAATAAAAAGAGGTTATTCCATGGACTACACAGTATTTGTGCTGACGTCTTGGGACCTTCATCGTTTTCATCATTAGATTGATGGGGTAGTTGTTCATTTCTAGACCAGAGTTGCCCTTTCTCGCCGCATGTCAGATAATATAGGCATGCCTGATGCACGAACTCTGACCTGCCTGCTGGCGGGGGATTGGCTTTGGCCTCTGCGTGGCCGATCGGTGGGACGCTCGTGAGACCTATGTGCACTTACCCGCCGTCGTCGCCACTAATTCCGTGTCCTCGTGGGCCCTCCCCCAATAATCTGATCGGCTGATCAGCTGTCCCTCCGCGTGCGATTCGCGTTCGCCTGTTTGGACGCATCGATGGGCCGATGTCTTGCGTCGATCGTCTGACCCACGGCTGACTCTTTCCCCCCTGCTGTGAAGGTTACAACTGTTGAGAGAGCCGTCATTTGTTCGCCAGTGGTTCATGCCTCTGCAGAACAGCCTCAGCAATCGGGCCGGACAGCAGGGAGCCCATCAGTATTTCTTACTTTTGTTCGTAAACCCGGTTGTGTAAAGTGAAGAAAGTTCTGGGGCACACCGCCAGGAGTTCGATGACGTGCATTAGTTCAAGTCCTTGATAGATTCATCAAACCTTCCCTAATGAAGCTTCTAAATTGTGCTGATGGCAGGGCCGCTTGAAATAGAGGGGAATTAAGGAGACCACAATCAGCAAACAGAATTGCTGGTGAAACCATTTCGACAGTCCGAATGTCGGGGTACTGTGGAAGGAGACTATCGGACGCGTTTTGACTTCATTCAGCCATCCGCAATCCTGAGAAGCAGCTGAAACCAGAAACCCAAGCATGTGCTCATTCACAGTGCAGACTGACCACAAAGAGGACCAGCATTTCATCGAATCGACGTTCATCAGTGCCTCGCTACCTGTCATTCTCTGCCGCTGCAGATCCGGCATTTATTCATTCAGGAATGGGCCTACACCGATTCATTCGCTTTCTTGAGCAAACATGCTTCATATGGCTAATATGGCTCACGAACAGACAACAGCGTATTCTACGTATAAACCGTATGTACGTCTATACATGAAAAGTATCATTGGCGACACTGGGAAGGAAGACGAAACCCCCCAGTTTGGGCTTATTTGATGTTATTAGTTAGCCAGCTCCGATCCTAGTTTTTGAAATTCCCGGACCTCCAACCCTCGAATTGTTATTTGGAAGTTAATCTTCCCGGCCACCGAATTGCGGGCTCGATCTCTAGGAGAGTTAGGAAAATCGGTTTGATAAATTTTCGATTCCTATTCCCCAAGGGGTACTCAGATGTAAATCAAGTGCGCAAAAACAGTTTCGGATAATACATCTGTCATCAATCATCAAGTTTTTGTGGTTGCAGATCCATCTGGTATTGGTTTAGTCAGCCTCACAATATTCCTCGTTTCATAAACGTAACTGACGAAAAAAACTTGACTGAACTTGGTTAATAGGGCGCAAAACGTTTGATCCCAATTTGTATATGTATGCCTCTTTAAATAGTTAAGACAAATTTGAGTGTTCATCATGTCCGGCTACCTTGAGAATGGTCATTGCTTATGAGCTTATGTGTAACCCTAGGACTCGGAAATTATTTATTGTCTATTACTCATGAGGCATTTCCTTTTGTATTTTTACCCGAAACAAAGCTGACATGGATGAAGAATGCAGATCACTTCGTGCTGAAAAGGGAATTCGTGGAGTTCATGTGTAACGACCAGAGGGCTATCGAGGTGACAGAGGCGCTGCGTCAGTTCGCATATAAGAAGCACCCCCCTGAGCAGTTATACGAAACCCTCGCCTACAATGCCCATTTGGGAGCCCCTGGCGCCTGTCGGAATCTCCACGAGTTCGGTGATGAGAACGTGGACGTACTTCGCCTTCCGGAAATAGTCCGTTACAAGCTCTGGAGGCCAACCCCATGTCCTACGAAGTACGTCCGTGATATTTGCATTCTCGGATCTCAACATTTGCCGGAATTGATCAACTCCCACAGGCTAATTGCCAACAAGTTCCATGAGGACTATTTTCCCGAAGGATATGACTGTCTTGAGTACGCAATTGCTGATCGTATCTACAAGGGCCCAGCAGCCGCCTTCGATCCTTCCGTTTTCGCGAACCTCTACTGCTCTTCTGACCATATATAACCGATTGAAATCCAAACTGTATATTTTGCAGCTTGTGTAGAATTTACCCATGGTGCTACCTGTAAAAAGTGCACAAAGCAGTAATGCTTGGGGTCTCGTATAATGGGGATGCAAATATTTTTATCTTCACCCTCCTCAATTGCTGTAGCCTTCAAAATTATATCACGGATGCACAAAATCCTTCTGAAGGGATATTGCCAATTTTATATTTTTTTGCTGACCTGTTTCCCCCCCCCCCCCCCCCTTAATAGATGTATTTTAATAAACTTACAGAAACGCATATTGATTGGATGCGTACGTTCGGATGTAGAAGTTGGCACACGGAGTGTGTGAGCTGATGATACACAAAATAATTGGTTTTCTTGCAAACTGCTAAGGCAGTCAGATTCAGTCAGTCAAGAGGATGGTCGTGAACATGGAATCTTGGACACTGCAAAGATATTGCATGCACAATCATATATCTGTGTTTTCATGCATATGGTGGTGCATGGTCAGGTAGGCGAAGTTACTATGCTAGGATGCGGACAGAAGAAGGGACACAGTGGTTGTTTCTGGAACCGACAGCATTCGACGGGCGGCTGGTTAAGTTCTTTGCCTCCAAAAACCACAATATAGACGCCTTTGGTAATATTCGCGAGCACTGTGTGACAACATGCAATGGGTACTATGGAAAAAGACCCAGTAAATATTTCATGCATTAGTTCACTAGGCAACATAATCACTTGTTTTAAGCAGACTGAGAGTTCCAGCTGACGAAAAGTATTAGCAGATAAGTATTCATTATGTGTACGGACAGACAAATCATCAACGAGGTGTGCATTTATTCGCTCCACGTCAAAAGCTATTAAACAAACATATTTTTCACATTATTCAAAAATTCATGCAATATGCCGCAGGTAGTTAAAACCCCAATACTACAATGTATCAAAGTATTTTTTTAATGCATATCTTGCAAGTTAAGTAAAATGTTAATATGCAGTGGAAAATAACAGTTCAAGGCGATAAATTTATCTGCATCCCATCGCATGGAAATTCTACTATGTGGTTATGTAGCCCAACTTGATGGACGCAATACCGTTGGGGTTGGGACTTTGGGTTAGGGTTAGAATCCATAGCTAGGCTTAGTATTAGGGGTAAGGGGTGCGAGTTAGCAGTTAGGGTTAGGGGCTTAAGTTAGGGGTTATGGTTAAGAATTGGAGTTTGGGATTCGAGATAGGGAGAACGGTAAATGGTTAGGGGAACTATTTCTGAACCACTCTAAAAACAACCACGCATTAACAATAGATTTTCTTTTGTACACAACTACTTGACCTCCTCGCCTGTGCATTCCCCGGCCCTACCTGTAAAAGCCCACATCACAACCGGACCCCTATCACAGGTGGCTGGAGTGTGTTTACTCCAGGTGGGGCAATATAACCACATCTGACCTATGTGGCATTTGCATTGACATTCAACAATCAGCCAGAATTGCATTTTGCTATAAATAATTCAGGGCAAGAGCACAAAAAACATGATGAAAGCAGCGTTTCGTATATTTATGTTCTGAGAAGTTGATGCATGACTGGAATGGTTTCCTTAATCGCACATATATGAGAATGTCATAAATGGCCTTCTATGCAACTAACCTTGAATAAAAGTCAGAAGAATTAACCAAACACTTGTACATATACTGTGTGACAGGAAGAGGTAAGACTCGCCGCCGCATGTAAGTCAGACATAACGACAGCCCAAAGTTGTGGTGTTCCACAGCAGCGCATAGTAAAGACGCTAATTAGGACACTTGGGTGCAGTACTCCATTGGCTGGAATGTACGCATTACCTCCCATAAGATCTTCTAAGGGCCGGATTCTCAATCCACAAGGAATATCCGCGACGGCGAGATGGTTTGTCAAGCATTCTTATACTGTTAACTCGAGTGCGGGTAGTTAGTCAAGAGCAGATTTTTGAACCTTACGAATTTAGTAGTCAAGTTAACGAACACGTGTGTTCGATAATTCTTCGTCAGGCAAATACAGTTACATGGAGGAATGAAAAAATACAAAATTGTCGGTGTTCATAGTTGCCTCAAGAACTATTTAATCATCTTCCCCACACCGCCCGCATGGCGAGATCGACGGGTTTTGGTCCTCAGGGCTAGCGGAACGGGGTAAAAGAGTCTTTGAGCGACGTTCATGGATTGATTACACAAAGTACCCATCACTGTAATTAAGTATTTGTGGCGACATGTCGTCATCACTGGTGGTTTGCGTTGGTCACAGTCGAGAGAGCGCTTGTGTCAGCGTTTTCTGATAGCATAACACCGGATTCGTTAGTCATATAGCCACCGCCTCTGCCGTTGCTAGCATCCGTTGGCGTAGGCCTTTAGAGAAGCATGTTGGTATCCGGTAGACAATCTGAAATGCTTACTTGGCATCGACTCGGTGATTCGTATCGACTAAATGTGCGAGAATAGAAGTCGAAATCGGTCGGGTCTCACCCCTGTCAAGCCAGGCTGGCATAGGTTCACGTACCCTCTTTACCAGGCGTCTCGTTGTACGGCCAGTGTATCCTAATATACATGAGTAAGTGAATGAGTAAATGCACATTGATGTGGCCGCAAACGGTAGTCTGTCTTTATCTCCCAAAACTAGACAAACGGCCTTCATTGCAGAGATCTTTGAAAATGATCGTCAATTGACCATCGGCAGCTTCCGTGCGAGCCTTATATCTCTCGCATTTTGAAATCATGGTGCGATCCGACAGTATTTCTATCCGCTTCGCCACTTAATCCATTCTATCCATCAGCAATACTCCTGAACATTTATCCGGTCTTGTCAGCGCAATGTTTTTGTGATTTTATGAAGCTCCCTAAGATTATTGATATGAGCCCCTGTCAAGGGACCCTTGTTTCTTGGGGCCTCCCTTAGATAATGTTGGCGGCAGTAAACCAGACTCGACTTAAGACAGTCAATTTCTCTAGCTTCGGTAGGTTTTATATATGCAGTCTGACTACAGAGAGTCTGAAATTGGATTCCTAGCTCTGTCTGTTTCGGTATCCGCCGTGCAATACTAACTTCGGGCCAAGAGCTAGTATCTCTAGGAGAGCTTTATCAAGACGTAGTGAAGAATAGATATGTATGTACCGTTCCGCATTGTTCGGAAAGACGGTCTGAGGGTTTACTGACTGGACGCTTCGTAGGAGCTTAGTCCACCTGTATTACGCATTGACAGCTCCCATAAAGATTCGATCTGGCCTAGGCCTCCTAGATAACCTACCGTAGCCCTTATTTTTTAATTTCCAAGACCCTACAAAATCAATGGGAAAACGGTAGGCTAATTAAGTAGTTGTTTGATACCATGTACGGTTTTTACAGGAGTTTCAAAAGCAGTGTATTCAAAGGCTGATATCCTGCCGAGCCCGAAGTGTAATAGGGCTATGCCGCAAGATAATCGCTTTTGCCGCCGAGCTTAAGTAATCCTTCCTAATCGAAAACACATCTCAGAATTTCATCCAAAATTTCATGAGATCGGTCACTCACTTTAGTGCAGCATACTGAACCGACATGAGTAAGTGCATTGCACCAATGGCAAGACATAGGATGGCATATATTTGTACCAGAGTTATTTCTGCCAACGGACTTACAGATACCACAACAAGTCATATGGACGCAGGAAATCAGAATCTGACATTAGACATTCCCTTAAATGGCGGACTGATGCAATTCTTATTAAGAAACGACAAATTGTTGCTGACTGGCACCTTGAGAATTGGAGTCCCTTTGATGAGTTATCAAAGAGACATATGCAAGACCAGTGAACTGAACACATAATTTACTTTAAATGTAGTCTATGTGCACGAGTAACAGATAACTAACTGAACCGCACGCAACATACCGCAGAATGGGTAGGTGTGCCAGCAAGTTAAAAATGTAGCCAGACACCGTCAACGTGAATAAAATAACTAAAGGTTGGTAGTTAAGAGGCGAAAAGTGCATGTCCCCTTACCAATAATTCTATAGAGACGCGTTTTTCCGTGGTCCATTTGGGATATGTCTTCTACTACGCTCACAGCAGTTACGCGACTCTGTTTGATTAGCCTGTCAGGGATCGTGTCGACGTGAACGACATATAAATCGCAGCGGCGGGGATGTGCTGTGTAACCGGATGGGAAAACTTAAGTCAGCTAAAGCCCTACCACACGTGGCCATATCTGTAATGGGTAACCATATACCTTACCCCACTAAGCTTTAAGAATGATTTGAACATAACCGTAACCTCGGCACAGGCCTTAAAGCCCTAACCTTAACTCCACTGCCCCAGCCTTCACTCCCTAACCCTAAACCAAAACCCTAGGCCCAATCTCGACCCCAAAACTAAAATCCAATCCCTAAATCCCGACCCCGACCCCGGCCCCAAAATCCAAATCTATGCCTGGCAACCTTACTCCTCTGAATACCCCAAATGTCAAATCAATTCTAACACTAACTGAGTTCGATGCGGGCAGTGTTATCATCCATAACGCCAGCGAAGGTGAACATATGCGTACCGCATAACACCTGTCGCGACCTGTAGGCGGGTAAACCGTCATGAACCACAGCAAAATAAACAGGATAAGAAGTAACATTTTGAACAACAACCCAGAGAGTTGCATACTCTACCCTGTCGTAGTTCTTCTGGAATTATGAATAACATGGATGAAGTATGCGGTTCACATCGTGCCGAAGAGGGAACTCGATGACTTTATACCAAACGACAAAAACACTACTGAGGCGAAGAAGGCGCTGTGTGGGTTCGCATGCAGTGTGCACTCTGATGGCCACTTTTACGGAACCCTCACGTATGATCGACACTCAGGCAATTTGTGAGCGTATGGAGTCAATGACAGAATCCATTGAAAGCTCTCTTCAAGCGGTGTATGTCAGCATGCAAAGCCGCTAGGTTGCAAATACTTTGCAGGTACTTTTAGTACCCAAATTACATGGGACAGACAGTGAAAAAGGAGTGCTGAAAGATGGAAAATG